GAGAAGCCCCGGGGCAGGGTGTGGCGCCCCCGGGGCGCTCGGTGCCGGGCTCCGTCGGCCCGTCCTGCTCCCTCAAGGACTCGCTGACTCCTCCTGCAGGTCTTGCTTCTCTCCTCTCTTCAAAGCGTGCGCTTCACCTCCCTGTACAGAAACCGAGGGGAGCCGGTGCCACGCCATCGTGAGAAACCCAGAGCTGTCCTGGCAGCCGTGTCGTGCGTGTGCTTTTAAAACAGCATCTGTTTGAGAGCTGAGACTGCCTGTTCCCCATGAAGGAAGCGGGCCGATAAGGCTTATCGCCTTGGCCCGAGCTCTTCCATCTCTCCGGCATTAGTCTGAGCCGTGGTGCCACGGGAGAAGGCTGCAGAGATAGCACAGCGCCAGGCCCTTTCTGGGTAAGATGCTGCTGGGAAGACACGGGCCTGCCCTGCTCACAGCTCGGGCATCCCCACCTCTACACACACATCATGAATGCATAAACTCAAACCCACACATGGAGAAACCTAAGGTGGGATTTTTTTTTTTATCCCCTTTTCAGCTGGGGAAGATGGGGATGCATCAGCAGGAGGTGAGGAGAGCAGAACTGTGAAACTAACATGACGCAGAATGAAAGCAAATAGTCTCCATTTTGGAGATGTGTGCCTTTTTTAAAAACACGTGATGAGGCAAATGTTAAAAATATACCAAGTTCCTGACTATACTGAAGTCTGCAAGGGCTGTAAGTGCACTGGACCCCTTCAAAGATGTGTTCCTACTTGGTTGAGTTGTGCTTGTTTTGTAGAAATGCTCCCAACACATATTCTTAGTCTGCACTGGGAAATTGCACCTGTTCTCACCCTACTACTTGCACATAGTCCTTTGCTACCCTCAGATAAGGTATCTGCTGTAGGATCACTACATTTGGATTTGGGGTTGGGGTTTTTTTTGGTTTTGTCTGTGTTTGTTTTTGGGTTTTTTGTTTGTCTGTTTGTTTTTGGGGGCTTTTTTGCCTTTTTTGTGAGACCTTGGTAAGATAATAAAGACGATACATTTTCTGCTGGGGAAGATCTCTTTCAAATATTTTATATAATCTTTATACATGTATGTACACGATTTCATACAGCTGAATTCTCTAAATAGGAAGTTTATTCTCTTGTTTTAGTTGCCACTGGATTCAAGGAGAGGTATTTACTGAAATGCTTAGCGTAACAGCTGGGGGAGAAGAGCGATCGTCAAATGAAACGATGAGGTGGCAGGTTTGAAAGAAGATACCTCTTCACACAAAACAGATCTTGGAAGTTACTGCTACAGGATGTCAGGAAGCAGTTCAAAAAGCAATTAAGCACGATCATGGAAGAAAAATCTGCGCAGGGGTGTTCAGCACAAACACCTCTGATCCTCTGATTCAGGAACTCTTTGAGGTGCAAATCCGCATCCTGCGGAAACATTTTGGGGAGCAGCCTCCCCTGTGCACATGCTGTCATTAGGCAATTACTGCTGGCTGCTCTGGAAGTAGTCCTGGACTGGACTTGAAATGCTGCTCTTCTGACCCAACACAGTCATCCCTACATTTAACTGTCATTTCATTCACCATGGGTTTTTTCCCCCCCAATTTTTAAAAAGTCATAGACAACAATTCTTGCAATGAATCTTTGTGACACAGAAATGCTCTTTCTTTATGCTCTGTACCACTGCTGTTCTTTCCTGCCTGTTACTTCGATTGAGGGATGGAAGGTTGCTTTGCTCTGTGTTTGTATAATACCACATTATCAAGCTGAGCGCTGGTCCGTGCCTGTATTTCCTAGTTAAATATTTGATATAAATAAATATTAATAATCTCTATTTCTGAAGGTGGTCACAAGCCAAAAGGTTTCCTGCCTGTTTAAACACTCAAAGTAAGAAACTGTGGAGCTCCAGTCCTCCTGTGCTGGCAGAATGAGACAGATGGGCCATTTGAGAAAGCGATTAAAATACCAGCAATACCTGCCAAACAGTTACAAATTCCACACTCCACATCTGCAAGGGCTTGTGTTTATTGTCTAGGGCATGGGACCAGACTTTGTGAACATGCTGACACTGAAGGGTGAGAGCAAGGATGAGGTGCCAGCATAGCAGAACTGGGGTAGGGGGGCTCAGTGGTGCCAGCCCCCCACCTCTGCCCTGAGCCTGCCTGAGGGCCCACGGGAGCTCAGGACATTCACCTGCCTTGCTGCTGGAAGGAGATGGGTTGCCACCTACACTTTCTGTTGAAGAGTCAGTTTTGGCATATGAATGTTTGCAGGGTTTTTTTTTTTCCAAAAGCAAGACTAATTTTAGTGCTTGGGAGTGGAAGTGCTCTGAGATCACATGGAGAAAAGGAGCATGATCATCCCATGATATTGAACAATATTCAGGCACAGGTCTTCTGAAAAAGACTCCTTTCAAGGCTGGAGAGCCTTTATATTATGTGCTTTTTTAAACATAGTGGAAATCCATTGTATCAGTCATAAGGCAGAGGGCATAACCTGAGGGAAGGCCGTTTCCCTAGGGAGAAGTGAAAAGAGGACCTGTTCCTGCTGAGAAGTATCCTTGCCATATGGGTTGAATTTTATAGCAGTGTACGGCTCTTGGGTTGGAGACACAACTTCCCATGTGTATAAGGATCCAGCTCAGGATGGATGTGGGCAAAAGCCAAACAGCAGAGCTGCTGTTCTTCCTGTTAGTCTCACCTGTGTTCCCATTGCTCTGCTGATTCGTGGCGGATCAGCGAGGGGCTGCGTATGGAATGGGAAACAGCAGCTGCTCAGAGATTGGCCATGCAAGCCCATCCTGCTGAGAAGTCATGTTTCTTTCGCATGTCTGGCATCTCTGTTGCTGATTGTGCAGATTATGGCTTTAGGAGCCCCTCAGAGACAGCTGTTTCATGAGGATGAGTAGTTCTTCAAAAGCCACTTAAACATGAAACTACCTTGGGCTTGGATGCTTTGTATAGCACTTTTCCCCAGAAGTGAGTTAGCATATACAGTAAATAAAACCAGTAAAACTGAATTTATTCTTTAGTTGGAGGACACAAGTCTAAAAGGGATGGAATAGGGAGCTCAGTCCCACAGAACTAGGAACAGGGATTAGGCTTCAACTCAAAGAAAGGGCTGCAGAGCAATTATTCCACCTGCCACACACTCAATATACGTTTATACCACATTGTCTGCACTTCCATAGCCGCCTTCTGTACTTCCCAGTAACTTTTTAATGAACCTCAGACTGCAAGTAGGTGTCCAAAAGTCTCAAGTCTGAAGTCACATAGGAAGAATGGAGAGGTCAGGGGCACTTGGCACTGTCCCTGTGGCTGATGGGTTTTCCAGTCTCAAGTCCCATGATGCTGAGGCACCTATTAAGCTCATGCAAAGTTCTCAGAGTATGAGGGAAGAGCTCTCCTGAGTCCTGTGAGTTTCAGCTCCTGAACAGCACCTGACTTAGATTCCATTTTTGTTTTCCTTCAGCTCATCCAGTCCGTTCCCACAGACACTGCTACAGCCCTGTACTGTGGGCAGCTCCTGCAGTGTCTGTTCCCATGGAGCAGTTCATCAGCACTTTTGTAGGAGCTGCAAGTCATCTGTGACTGGGATGGCAGGGGATTTTGTGTCTCAATAGCTTTTGGAGGGCAGTAATGTTTTCTTGGAGTGGCTGAGACTCTTTGGAAGAAGAAATCTTTGATAATTTGTCTAAAGGTAAAGAGGTGGAGCCACACAGGCATAAGGAAAGAAAAAAAAATACATTTTTTTAATTTTCCAGGAGAAAGACATTATTCACTGGTGTGTCCTCAGACAGTGCTGATTTATAGGCACATATATAACATTTTCATTCAGTCTGTGTTTTTTACTAACCAGAACTAGACAGTGCCTATCATTCAGGTAGTTATATACATGAAAATACATTAAGTTGGACTGGTAATTTTTACATTTTAGTGAATTATATTTTTGCTTTTCATTTGATGTGTCAAATGTGGCAGGGGACCTCCGGCACAAGCGCTGTGCTGTAAGAAGAATGTTGGCAGAGGTGGCTCCCCAGCCCCATGTAGAGCAGGGGCCCATGGGGATGAAGTAAACCCATGCTGGAGCTTTCTCTTCTTCCTTAACCTTTGGCCATATGAGGGTTTTGGCAGGCAGCTTGCAAAGTTGGTCACCCTGGAGTAACCTCACTTCCCTAGCCTCAGGACATTCACCTGCCTCTGCTGCCCAGCAGAGACTCCAGGGCCAGCTGTCACTGGCCAGGCACAACTCTTGTACCCTTTAGTGCCCCCCAGATCCCTGCCCATTTGTCAGCTTGTCCCTGCTGCACATTTCTTACACTGCTTTGTGCAAATGTTTTGGGGCAAGTGGAAGGAAATGCAGCAGAACCTGCCCAACCACTGATCTGTCTACTAGCAAGATGCCCTCTCTGGGTCAGTGCAGTGCAATTTTATTGGCATAGGAGCCTGTCTGGCTCCTAAGTAAATTCTGTTGCTACTGCTATCTTTAAGTTAGAGCAAACTTAAATAATTCCCACTCAGCTGAAGGAATGTATGTGACTGCCAGGATGACTGCAGAGCGCAGTCGTGTCCTTTCACCAAGAGTCACTTGCAAAAGGTGTCTTGGGAATGGCCATTATAATATTTTTCTTCTAAACTTGGGTATGCCTTATCCATGTGAAGAAATATTTTTCATCAAATAAGCATTCCTGGTGCCCATGCTGCTGTTATCATTAAACAAATATTTCATTTAGGGGGTATGGAGATTTATGAGGTTTTTTATCAAGCACAACCATTAGCTGTTGACAAAAGAACACAGATTGGACCATATTTTAGGGTTAAGAGAATTGGCTTTCCTAATATATTCTTCAAATTTATTGTAAGGTAATTTTTACAGTGTAGTAATATTTTCATGCCACTTTTTAATTTTTTCCTTTTCTTTTTTAAGTGCAGATTTTGTGCTGAAGGTATTATTTACGGTCTTGGGTGTATCTGTAGATTCTAGTGAAGTAGAAATGTCACTCTGATATGAATGATGCTACAGGAAAAATATCTACATGTAAGTTTTCACATAACTTTCCACAAGTGCCCTCCACCCATACTACAGCAGGTGGGGGGTGAAATCCCAAGCAACGTTAGCTAAAACACCTTAGGCTGACCTTGTAGTCTCTTGACAATTTCCACAACATAAAAATCCAAACAATCTCTTCACATTCTATTTAAAAAAAAAAAAAGTAATATGAAGTCAGGAGCCTGTCTTTCTAGATACAACCAAACACTCTTTCTTTTCTCTACTTGTGAATTGTTCATATCACTTCAGGTGATAAGGGGACTTCAGGTGAGGACAGGGACTTTCTGAACAGCACTTTTAATGTTATGTGAAGATTAGCAGTGATGTACAAACTTTGGAATTTCTCTTCAGACTGTTCTTGACCTTTTATAAACCAGTATTACTGAGTTATCGCAACAGTATAATTAATTAATTCTTCTTACAACAATTTAAGAATAAAAATAACATCATAGATAATTTAAATGCAACAACTCAACACCCTCTAACTAAATTTTCCAGCCAATAAAACACAAGGCAGAAATGGCAGAAATTAAAATCTTCCAGTTGACCACTTTCTCCTTGGACAATTTCTAAAACATATATTAAAGACAGCATTCAGTGGCTTGAATCCTTTTGCGAATATCCATAGCAATCTTCCTAGTGATGCTAAGTCTCTAGTAAAGGTGCAAGAGGATGTTCAGTTATGAGTAATCCCTAAAACTGACATTAAATATAACGTAATGTAAAATATTTACAGTTCTCCCATGTCACACCTTAATGTTCTTTTTATTTATTTTAATCCAGATAAAATAAGCCATAATAGGACTGATTTATATGAAGCCATGATAGGAGTCTCTGTTCTCATGAAAACAAAACCATTGTAAAGTTCTGGTCTCATCAACTTCAACACCTAAACCGAATTTTCATTGCCAGCCTTTGACTCCTATCTTGTGTCACCAAAAGAAACAGAGCAATTGTTCTCAAATACTAGCAGGCAGGTAGGGTGAGCATGGAAAATTCTAGTTTCAGAGAGATGACATCTATTAGGATACTTTCAGGAATTAATGATTAATGAAAAATATAGCACAGTATGTTGAATTATTGTGACACAAACCCTGGAGTTTACAGAGGGACATTTTATCTTTAGAATGTGTCTGTGCTGTGCTAGCCTAATTTTGACCTCAAACCACCTGACTATAGACACTCAGACCTGTTGATCCTCAAGCCACTGAGTGGATTTGCTGGTGGTTACATCTCATTTCTTCTGTTTTTTAGCCACCCACAGAGAGGGTGACACATTCCAAGGGAGCTTTGCCATCTGAGCAAGAGTTGCCCTGATTATCAGTTCTAGCCCAGAATGGGTGAAAGGCAGGGTCTGCCTTTGAGGTCACACATCTAAGTGGTCCAGTGAGGTCCAGTGGGCCCTTTTGAGGGTGTGGGGTGTGGACCTTGAATGCTGTCATTCCTGATATTCCACTCTCAGACTGGGATCTACCCTGCTAGGTCAGCACATGTGGCAGACAGCAGTCTGAAGAGCTTTAAGAACGGTAGCCTTTGCTCCATGGCCCGCTGAGGTGCCTGCGTGAGACTCTGTCAGGGCTGAAGAGGCAGATGTGACGATAGCTTTCCTGTTAGTCATTTCTCAGCTCCCTGTCAGCCCCCAGGCCCATCCTAGCTGGGTGTGTCTGCTACATCTGCCCTGGGCATGGGGGAGAGGGTGGCTGCTGGCAGCCCCTCAGTAGCAGCCACACCAATCTCCATGATTGCCTCTCTAAAGATGATCCTAATCCTCTGTTGCCCATTAGA